AATGATAACCCTCCCGTAAGAGACCAAACAATGAAAGAAATTAGCGATAACGCTAATCCCCTGCATCAACTAGTCTAGAACAAACAAGTAGGCAAAATTCATTCAACTCCATATTTAAAAGAGTGATAAACGTCAACAGTGTAGTTGGATATACATCTACAGGTGCCAAGCAAACAGTGGTAACTTCACTTTATATCTTTTTTATACATATTTTTTATATCTTAATGTAGTTAACTTAATCTTAACTTAAATAATGCTACCAAAAGTTAAGATGAAGTTAAAATAAAATTTTTTGCATAGTTGGAAGTTAATCAATGATTTTCTTAGTTCTTTTTCACTAGTTAATATTATATTAAATATTATATGCTTATTAGACCACGTGTTCTGTTGCTTTGCTAATTTTTACTAAGTCTCTAAATGTTGTTAGTTATTTAATTGTTTATACAATATCACCATATGATGTCCATTTATTTGAGTTTTTGTACTACCTTTTTAATACCATTGACAACTACATATCTTTTTTAAGGTAACTATTTAACATCTTCTTCATGAATGTGTGGTACTCATAATGTAAAAATTTTTAGATGAACTGATGATGCTATCAGAATTCGATAGCGAAACGTCTTCAAAATAGATGAAGTAGTATCAACTTTGTCTTTTATTTCTCCACCTAGTTGACCGATAATTGAACCCACCACTCATCTGAGTGATCCTTATTTATATTGGATAGACGGTCGTACTCCTTTTTGCGATATATATATATATATATATATATATATATATATATATATATATATATATATATATATATTATATTTTGTGAAGTATTTGTTCTCGTATTTTCTTAAGAACAAAATTTTATTTAGAGTTTTTGAGTAAATCTCAGATGGCTGGTACTTTTTCCACATTGACTTTTCCATTGTTGTATACACCTATCGACTATGGGTATACTCAACCTCCCTATGAATCCATTTATTACACCTAAACTTTTACTTGGCAATTAATATGTTAATATGACTTATCGATGTCATTGCTCTGTAATATTGATCCATTTCACACTAATGTCTAGTCAACTATCTCCTGGTGGAGTCTGACTTCACTGTCTACCTACATCTACATGTCTACTACCAAGACCACATCACCAGCATATACTAAACACCTAGCAAATCTTTTTGGATCTCCCCTGTTATCTGATTCGACACAAATATATGTGGACTATGTCAAACTAATCATGAATCCTAGACTATAACTAGACATGCAACAATATTATTATTTTTGATGTTACATACTGATTTGGACATCGTGTCAGGTGATTGTCTGTGTGTATTGTTTTTACCTAACATGTATTGTAACATCATAACTTATATTTTAATATTCTATTCTCACAACATTAGCTCCTGAAGAATACAAGAAGTCTTGTTAAAAAGACCTCTGTTGCTCTTAGACTTATGTGCAATCAAATTACTGACTATATTATGCGTTTCAGTGATCCCAGACTGCACTCTGGGAAATTGTGTCCCCACAGTAATACTATCATCATCATCATTTTGGCTTTACAACCCTGTGTGGGTCCTAGCCTCCCCCCTGGGTCTTCTTCTTCTTTGACCAATAGGTCTATCAAGGACCGTTTTTCTAACTGGGTCGGTTTGCTCCATCCGCATTACATGGCCTACCCACCTCAGACGTCCTATCTTAATGTGTTTTACGATATCTGGTTCCTGGTATATTCTATAGAGTTCGAAGTTGTATCGTCTTCTCCAGACACCATTTTCATTTACCGCTCCATAGATTCGCCTCAGTATTTTTCTTTCGAAACATCCCAACATATTTTCATTGTTTTTTGTTAAAGTCCAGGTTTCTGAATCATATGGTAGAACTGGGCGTATTATTGTTTTGTAGAGTTTTACTTTTCTTGATTTAACTGTAGATTTAATAAGGAGATTCAGCCCAGAATAGCATCTATTAGCCGTGCAAATTCTGCGGTTAATCTCAGTTAATCTAAGGTATACAAATTCGTTAACTGCTTCGATGACGTCGTTTTCTATAACAAGTGGCCGTCGTATTTGTGGTTGCGGACCTATTTTCATGTATTTCGTTTTATTAATGTTTATTATTAAACTCAGTTTTGTAGCCGCTTCCTTTAGTGCTACATACGCCTCTCGTGCTGGGTTTTCCGTTCTCCCAACAATATTGATATCATCAGCATATGCTAGGATTTGCAGAGATTTGTTATATATTGAACCGGTAGTTGTGATTTGTGACGTACGTATTACTTTTTCCAGAGCTAGATTGAATATTACACAAGCATAGTGGGTCTCCCTGACGTAGCCCGCTATTTGTATTAAAAGGTTGAGAGAGTTCCCCCTGGATTCGTACTCTGCATTCAACTTTTTCAAGGGTTAGTTTGGTTAGACTTACCAACTGATTTGGTACTCCTAGGTCTATCATTGCTCTGAATAATTCTCTTCTATTTACAGAGTCGTAGGCTGCTTTGTAGTCTATAAATATGTGGTGCGTGTCTACACCGTATTCCAGTGTTTTCTCTAGAATTTGTCTCAGGGTTGAAATCTGATGAATTGTTGATTTACCACCTCTGAAACAAGCCTGGTATTGTCCTATTATTCGCTCTGCATACGGTGCCATACGATGGCATAGTATATTGGAGAATGTTTTATACGCTGCATTTAGGAGCGTAATTACTCGATAGTTAGAGCATTCAAAGATATCTCCCTTTTTGTGTATGGTGCAAAGAATTACAATATTCTAATCACTGGGAAGGGACTTCTGTATCCATATTTCTTTTATAAGCTGCTGTAGCACTATTATGATATCGTGGCCACCTTCTTTATATAATTCCGCTGGGAGATTATCTATTCCGGGTGATTTGTTTCTGGCTAGTTTGTTTACAGCTTCTTTAACTTCCAGGATCGTTGGTGGATTCTCCTCCCTCTCGTCTCCTCCGCTTACCACACAGCTTTCGTCTTCCGGGTTTTCTTCTTCTTCCTCTATATTAAGTATCTGGTTAAAATATTCCGTCCATCGATTGAGTACGTCTGTTCTTGTTGTTAATAGATCGCCATTCAAACTTCTACATTGATTTGTGTTTGCCTTGAATTCTTTTCTGTTGATGTTAATTTGCTTGTAGAATGTTCTGAATTTTTTCTCTCTGTTGAGGTTTTCTATAATATTTAAGTTCCTTTTTTAAGTGGTTTCGTTTCTTCATTCTGTGTATTTTCTTTTCTTCTCTTCTCTTTGTCTGGTAATTCTCTACACTTGTTCTAGTTCGGCGGGTTTTTAACCATTTTTGCATAAGCTTCATTTTTTTTTCTGTGTTGCGTCTTTGCATTCATCGTCAAACCAGTAATTTTTTCGGGTATAAGTTTCTGTTCCCATTTCATCTTGTGCTGCTGACTCAATATCTTCCTTTAGCGTGTTTCAGTAGGAGTCTATATCTCTCTGGTCTTCTTCGCTTGGACTTTGATTTCTTAACCTATTGGTAATATTTTCCTAATACTGTTTTGCAGCAGTTGCATCTCTCAGCTTCTGTACATTCCATTTCTTTGTATCTATTTTTTTCTTTGTTGGCATTTGAAATTCTAGCCCTTAGTGTTGAGATCAGTAAACAGTGGTCTGAGTCTTTAGTTGCGCCTCTATAACTTCTGCAGTTCATTATGTCCGTTCCGTGTCTTGAATCTATTAAGATGTGATCAATCTGACTAGTTGTTCTTCCATCAGGGAGGTCCAGGTTACCTTGTGTATATTCTTATGTTCAAAATAGGTGCTAGCGACGGTCATGTTCAGTGCTGCTGCTAAGTTTATCAGTCGTAATCCATTATCGCTACTGATGTTGTGTAGGCTATGCCTGCCTATAGTCGGCATAAAAACTCGCTCTCGTCCTATTCTTGCATTCATGTCACCTAGAACTATCTTGATGTCATTTCTGGGGCATCTTCTAGGTCTTCCAAAAACTGTTCTTTAACGTCTTCTAGTTTGTCGTCGGTCGGGACATGTGCATTAATTAAACTGTAATTAAAGAATTTACCATTTAAGGGTTACCACTCCATCTATGAGTTGCTTTTCATTGCAGCTGTAATATATGGAGTGGGTTCTCTTGTCAAGAATGCCTGTTCCCCTCCATCGTATTTCCTGTAGTGCCAAAACATCCACTCTGTACATGTTTATTATGTCTTAGTAGAGATGCGAGTGCTCCAGCTCGGTACAGGGTTCGGGTGTTCCACGTCCCTAATCTTAATTCCATTTTACGTTTGCAGAGTCGTCGTCGTAAGTTCCGTCCGGCTAATAGTTCTTGAGGTTCCGTAACATATGATTTTTTCAGGAAGAGGTTGTTAGCCTCTAGCCTAACCTCCAACCTGGAGGGCTAGGGACTCTGTTGGGTTGCCATACCACTCTGTTTTGGTTCACGGGTGGTATTTTATTTCCCACCTACCCGCCAGTCCTAGGAGTGGTTAGAGCGTTCCCCTATCCACCACCTGGGGACAGGTCCGATGGGCGACAGGCAACGTCCACACGGGACAGGAATACGATTTATTCTCCATATATAAGAAGCTACCTTCTTTACACTTTGATTCGCATTGAGAAAGGAAGATTTTTCGTTAGTAAATTAAAAAAAATCGGATTATGATCAATTCTTTCCCTTTTTTCATTTGCCAAGAGTATGATGGATGGGATACTAAGGTCGATATTCAAGTTTCTTTAACACATTTCGAACTGCTCTTGAAGTAATACCTGCGTTTTCTATAACTTGACTATCAACCATGGCTTATTTATTTTAACCGTAGCAAAATTTGACTAATTTTTTTGAGTGAGTGTGAAATTCAAAAGAAAATAGTACGACCCCTTCGATTCACAAACAGCAGTAATGACTTTTGTCGAAAAATACCTTTTTCTGAACAGATAATTTTAATTTTAATCGAGAATATAATTTGTCGTTGTTATTTCAAAATTATTTAAATATTTATTAAAACATTTGTTATTTTCAGTGACAGTAGATGACTTAGCTAAGAGAATATTTTTTCTCATATTTTTCCACATGTTCTTCTTCATGTTTTTTTGGTCCTACTGGCAAACCATTTTTACAGATATTGGAAGAGTGCCTAGTAAAGTAAGATTTCCATCTTTTGTTTATATAAAGTACTTAAGATATACTTTGTAAAAATATATGTATTGAACTGACATCTATTTCAGTTTGCAATTCCGGATCAGATTTTTGATGCTTATCTGAGTAGCTCTGATAACTATGAAAATCAAAACCGCATATTAGAAAATCTAGCTCGGCGTTTACCAATCACAAATGTAACTGTAACAGGAGGAGTAAGAGTTTGTGAGAAATGCAGAATAGTAAAACCTGACCGTGCACATCACTGTTCTGTGTGTGGGGTGTGTGTCTTGAAGATGGACCATCACTGCCCATGGATTAATAACTGTGTGTCCTTCACAAATTATAAATATTTTATATTGTTTTTGGGATATGCCCTTTTGTACTGTATATATGTATCCCTTACATCACTCACATACTTCATTTCTTTTTGGAAGGTAAGCAGCTTTGTTTATATTCATTTTATTTTGGTAAAAAATAAAAATTTATTTTGGTTCCTAAAAAAACTAATACGACTCTTAGTAAGATTTGATCATTTTGAGCAGTGTATTTGATTGGTCTGACATTATATTATGTTTATTATGACAGACAAACAATAAAATAAACAAACAAACAACAAACAATTGATTTTATATGTTAATTTATAAATTGTAATACTTATTAAGGTCTAAATTTTTATAATATTTTGAATTCCTGCATTTTATAGAGTATATAAATGATAGTTTTTAAATTAAATAGGGTTGTTGTTATTATTTTTATTATACAGATTTAGCTATACGGCTCACACTCCCTCTAAGGGGAAAATTCACTCATACCAGATACCTACGGTATCAAAAGGATTGAGCTCTGATGGGACTCTTTCCGTCTTATCGAGCCCTAGGTGACTTGGTATGTTGGAGTATCTCAGTGTTGTTCTCTCTACTGCACTGCGTAGATGGTGTTTGCGCCTTTGTGAGAAGTGTTCTTACTTTTCGCTGAAGACCCTCTATATCCGTTTTTGACCACTTGATAATACCAAATGAGTAGCTAAGCGCGGAACAGTCGTACGTAACAAATTTTTGCTATTAAGATATGACCGATTTAGCTGTCTGACTCTTCCCACAAACTCAGAAGTTAGTTCGGTTTTCATTAGTTTATGGTCGATTTTTCGCACTTGCTTTACTCCGAGATATTTGTACTTATCATTTTCACCCATTGCCATTCATGTTCTGGCCATCTTGCATATCGAAACCTCCAGGCTGAACCTTTCCTCTGACTATATTTAGTATACGGCACTTGTCTAGTCCAAAATGCATACTGATATCATTTGAGAAAGTTTCTACAGTTTTTAGCATCTGATCTAGGTGGTTTCGAGTGGAAGCCATTAATTTCAAATCACCATATACAACAGATGATTAAGCTTCGCCACAACAGTATTATTATTTTTGGTGCTAAAACCTGAGTCAGTGGAGTTTAGCAGCTGGGTTAGTGGGTTCATCGCTATACAGAACAAAAGTGGACTCAACGAGCCCCCTGGAAAAGGCCACGGTTGATTGGGATATATTCAGTTTCGATATTATTTTCACCAAGTATTTGAAGGTGAATTTTAGTCTTCCACTCCGTCATTATATGTTTTAAAAAGGTCAAAATGTTATTATCGACTTTATATATTTTTAATACATCTATAAGCCATTCATGCGACACTGAATCAAAGGACTTCTTGTGTAGTCAATGGAGGCAGTAAAAAGGTTCCTTTTTTTGTGTATGCCTGGTTAGAAATGACTGAGTCGATAATGAGTTGTTCTTTTCAACTCATGGAACCCTTAGCGCATCCTATCTGTTGAGGCTCCATGATATTGTTTAGAGTACAGTGTTGTTAGATATGCCGAGCTCCACAGGATGTGACCAATTTGTACAAAGTTGGAAGATACGTAATTGGGCGGTATTTGGCTGGATCTTGGGTGTTATTTTGATCCTTTGGTATTAGATAAGTGGTTCCCTGTGTAAGAAATGATGGTATTTCCTATGGATTAGAGATAACATGATTAATCAGCATTAACAAACACTCATGAACACTCCAAAACTTTTTTAGCCAGAAGTTTTGAACTCCGTCTGGTCCAGGAAATTTCCAGTTTGAAGCTCTTTGATAGTATTTGAGACTTCTTCAGTGGTAAAGGGTTCGTAAGGAATATTATTGTAATGCTAATAGTTGTCGTTGTGTCTTCAATCCATCTAGCATTGGTGTTATGAGTAGCTGGCATTGAAAGTTGATTTCCCTAAAAATCGTGAATTTCTTCTTGGCTTGGATATGATTTATTTTCATTTTCCACAGTGGAATTAAGTTTCCTATAAAACGCCTTCTCTGCATGCTCAAAGAGTATATTGTCGCATTTCCGGTTGTTGCTAACTTTGTATCTGCTCAGGCGGCCTGAATAAACACATAGTTTTTGTTTTAATATGTCCCTACGCAGGGGTTAAAATCGCACGACCGAGGAGGCTAATGAATCGGAGCTTCTGCACCTCTACCAATTAATCGATTCGGATAATGATTACTCAACCAATTACGACACCTTCTAAAAAGTGTGGTGAAGCTCCATCGTGCATAAAAAATAAAGATCTTCGCTCGTTTACCGTTAAATCTTCTAATATCGCGAATAAAGAATTGTTTAAAAAATCAAGATACATATCTCCATTTAAATTTCCAGGTAGAATATGATAACCTATTAATTTGTTTATCTAAAGTTGCTGCCCAACCATTAACTTTAATGAGTGTAGGTAATGTGATAACCTTTTGACTCGTGGATTCTCATCACACCAGTAGTGTGCATTATGGGAGTTAAACATACCTTTTCGCGTATAGGTGGCCTCGTCCGTAAAAAGAATGCATTTTAAAAAAATTGGATTGTGGACTGTCCTTTGTTGCAATGTTTCACAAAAATCCACTCTAACCCGTAGATCATCTGGCAAGGGCTCTTGGACTTGTCTGTAATGATAAGGATGTAATTGCTGTTCTTTCAGTATCCGCCAAGTACTTGAAGAAGAAGTATTTGTTTGTCTTGTTATATTCCTTACGCTAACTGTTGGATCTTGATCAAGTAAATTTAAAATATTATTTTCTTTATTAATTGTTCTTGTTGTTCTTGGTCTACCAGAATTTATTTTATTTGGTCTCATATTCCCAGTTTCTCGATAACGTCGCGCAACGGCTCTAAATGCTTTTTTACTTGGTAAGTTTCTTCTAGGAAACTTTCCTGCATAACGCGTCACAACTGCACTAGAACATCCTAAACATTCGCCTAAGGTTAATAACATGTCAGTGCATTTAACATTTGAGTACATTTTGATTTGATTTTACAAATAACAAAGTTTCAAAACTCTAATTATTGTTGATTTATCGTCATAACAATCAATAAATGTCAGATTTCCATGGTACACTTGGAGAAAATAGAGGTATACCTATTAGAACTTTATCATTACTACCAGCATCAATTATTACTTCAGAATTTTCAAATCAAAATATTCCGAAAACGGTACACAGTATCGAGTTTTACCAAGAGTACCTTTTTCGTCTAAAATTGAATGATGTTTAAGTTTACTTGAAATTTTGATTAATAATTATACTCTTAAAAAAGTTATATTGACTAATATTTAGTACGATCCGTGTAACTAACGCCCTCTATGAGAATCAGATATAAAAACAAATTCATGGGATGTATCAGCTTTCAAAACATTTCGTATAAAATTTCATTACAATGTTGCCAGTAGTTTCGTCAAAATCGTAAAAAATACGTAAAATTTTTTTCTTCAACGCCCTGTACCTTGAAAACGGATGGCGTTACAAAATTTTTTTACTAAGCAAACCCCAATTATTTTTCAGTTTTTTACCTACCCTAGAGATGGGGTTACTTTTTTTTGAAACACCCTGTATTTATTTATTTATCGTATGGCAATTACACATTTAGAACAAAATTACAAACACTAGTAATCTAGGTATATGACAAACTTTAAATAGTTACAAACAAACATCAAGTGTATTAATATATAATCAATTGACTTTGAGTTTTTGAGGTATAAAATTACGCCGATACAACCGTTTTATAATAACCCCACACACATTCTCGATTGGGTTTAAATCTGGACTATAGCTGGGCCATGGTAAGGTTTGGATGTTGTTATTCTGGAGCCACTGGTTTATTATATTTGCAGTGTGAACAGGACAATGGTCTTGTTGGAGGATAACATTATTGTCTGGATACAACTGTTCTACACTGGGAAACATGATGTTTTCTAGAATATTCAGATAAGTCTGCCCAAAAACCTGTCATGAATACGCCATACCATTCCCATTCCTCTAGATAAAATTCATCCCCATACATCGGTGCTAAAATGACAAGCTGCTTGATATCTATTAATGTCTGGTGTATAGACCCTGTCGTACCGGACTAAGTGGTATGCTGGATAAATGATTGCAAATACCTTCCCGTACGCTCTGTTGTTCGATTTCGTCCTGAAAAGGACGAAATCTATTTATTGTACATCGACAATAGATAATAAGGTTGAATAAAAACACAAAGGTTGTTGTTCATCGACAATAGATAATAAGGTTGAATAAAAACACAAAGGTTGCAGTAGAAAAGAGAGGCTCAGCCTTAGAGTCTGAGAAAACTGGAGCATCGCTCCTAGAGCGAAGTGCCCGTGAAGGGGCGACTTCGACTGACTTGAGATCCGAATAATCCCATATTTAAAGACAATTTAATATTTATATGAGATTTTCGGACCTCTCGTCCAATAAAAACATCAATAAAGTATGAGAAGGCGGGCGATGCGCGCCAAGGTGCGTATTAGTTTGGTCACTATATGCACCAGGGCGACATCCCCCTCCCTTTGGAGACTCTGAGGCTGGAAAAAGGTGATTTTTATTAAAAAATACACACAATACAAAGTAAAAATGCACAATAACATGTGAAATAAAAAGTACTTACAGTTTTTCAAAAGATATTACTCGAAAAATGTCATTAATCGCAACACTACACAAAAAACACAACACAGGAGGAGGTCGGTGGTAGTGACGGCATCTGCAGGTACTGTAGGGAGGCGCTAGCTGGTCCTACTCCGTGATTTTCGTTGGCAAATGGGGCTTCTAGCTTCGAAGATTTTCGGACCTCTCGTCCAATCAAAACATTAATAAAGTATGAGAAGGCGGGCGATGCGCGCCAAGGTGCGTATTAGTTGGTCACTATATGCACCAGGGCCCATAACCCCAATATTGTCCATTTTAGAAGATTGAAGAATTTTCTCATCTGTAAATATTACCGTCCCAAAAATCTTGATTTTGTAGCTGATGGTTTCAAGCAAATATAAGTCTTGATTGCTTCTGTTGCGGTGTAAGAGTTTGTTTTTTTATAAATAATAATTATTTATTCTTCAAAATACACTGCTCAATTTTCTACAAAATGCGCTTTGAAGAGTCGTATCAGTTTTTTTAGGAACCAGCTGTATAAGTTACTGTTAATCATTTTTAATTGTATGCCCTTGTTTTTCCAAGTATTGTGTTGCATTTAACATACTTAATATTATATGTACTTTATTGGGCACCAAACTTTCAGCAGTTAATATTGTAAATATTTTAAAATCCATAGGAATATCTTATAGAATTTAATTTTTATTGTGTAGCTGCCGCTAATAACCACTATGGCGGATGAGGCTGTATTTTCTAAATAAAAAAATATTCGATAATAATTACTGTGTTGAATACCATTTTTACTTGAATTCTCTGCAAAACATTTGTTACAATATTAGGCCTAACTAAACTTTATATTGACAATGTCAAATCATAATTGTCACATCATTCAGCATGATGACTAGGCTACTACCGAGCTGTATATTTATGTGATTCCATGACCTACTTCAATTACGATTTTTTGGATGGCTCTATATTTACCTATTAATATTAATTAAGTCCCTCTTTTTAAATACGTTCCTCCTTACCTTTTCTTCCACATCTGATTGTAAATTCAACACCACAATAATAATATTTAGATACTTAAAATACCTACACATACAAACGTGTCCACAAGGACTACACACATCAATCATTTTAATTTTTTTAGGGAGATCTACCTGGTATGGGGCGGTTCCACATATTGTTTTTGTTTTTTGTGGCAGTAATGTTTGCTATTAGTTTACTTTCATTGTTTGGTTACCACTGTTATTTAGTTATCGAGAACAGAACTACATTGGGTAAGCATTTTTTAAATTCTAATACAATTCAATTCAATACTTTTAGTTTAGTTGTTTGTGAGCACAGAAATAAAAAAGTGAATGAATGAATATAAAAATACTTAAGTTAAAAAACAAATTAGAAATAGAGAATACAGAGAAGCATAATTATTATAAAAGTGAAATTGACATATTATCAAAACAAATCGTAAAGAAGAACGATAAATTGTTAATTGTAAAGGGGAATGATAAATCGGAAAATCTTTTGAATGTATAAAGAATTATTTTTTATTTATTGTATGACATACACTAAGAACACATAATTAAAAATCAATATAAAACGTTACATGGAGTATTACAAACGAAAATCTAGGGTCGATTGTTCGAACGCTAATCAAAACTTGATTGTAATCAAATATTTAATTACAATCAAATACACCACAGCAGCTGTCAAAATTATTAAAAATTGCTTATTATTATTGATTTATAAATAAAAACATGCAATTAACATCAGAAAGAGTTTAATTATGGTTTATTTTGACTCCCAGGACCTATTTCAAAAAATTATCCAGTCAGCACGAGATATTTTTTTGTTGTTGCGGCTGAAAATATTATACTATATAATAGTGATTTAAAATATTGCCATATTTTATTATTCTAAAGGATATGATACACATGGTTCACAAGACACGAAAATACCGATTACAAACCAAATAGCCTATGTGTATTAAAGTTGATACACAGGTTTTTATTATGTTTTTATGAAAAATATTACACATTAATGTTTAAATAAAGCAAGCAACTATTTTAGGGTAACATTATGTATCTTAAAAAAAAAACAATTTAATCACAATAAACTTTTTCTTCAGACAGCACATTTTGAGCACATTTCTGCAACAAGTTTTTCCCTGAACGGCTTTATGTCCATTTTAGTGGTTAAAGTTGCATTAAAAGGATTAGTGCGTTTACAATAGCGGTACTGGTAAGGATTTTAATACCTACTTTACGATATCATTTGATTGATCTGCGGACAGGATTACTGTAAGTTGATCTCTGATCCGAAACATCGATATAAGACTTAACGGAATTATATTCCACTATTGTATTTGGTTTCCTTTTGGTACCTGTCCGTGTCTGTACCGTAATCATTTCTGGACAAGATTTGGTTGTTAAAAAACAAACTTCTCGTTTGTCAACCCATTTACCAACAATAACATTTGTTTTGCTTTCAAGAGTTATCATGTCCCCTCTTGATAGTTTTTTTTTTCAAGGATCATTTTGGATTATATTTTCTGTTTTTGCAGCTTCCCTATCAAATGAATATGATTATCGTTGAGTAAATGGGCTAAACCAACGCTTGTTTAGTAGTTGTCCGTTACTAATGTTCTACCACTTTTAAGAAGAGGTTGTATCAATTCCATTACAACTTGGCTGGAAACAGGTTGATTAATTGGTATACTTTGCTTTCCAACGTAGATTTTTATGTTGAATGTATATCCTCCTTGTCCGCACAACTTAAATATTTTTATCTCGTGTTTGTGTCGTTTGCCCGGTATATACTGTAAAAATGATAACCTTCCACGAAATGGAACCATTGACTCGTCGATGTAAACGTACTCGCCTGGAGTATAAACGGTTTGAAAATTTCTATTACACATATCTAATGTACTTAACTTGAAAAGGTGGTTATTTTCGGGACATAGTTCATTATTTGAAAAATGAAGAGAAGCCAAGAGTGCCTCAAATCTATTTCTTGACATCTGTGTACGTTGATAAATGGAACATTATGAACCAAATTTGTACTCCAAGAGTCTCTTAGTGTTGATTTTGGATTTAGGCCCATCCATATGAGTATGCCCAAGAATATTATAACTTTTTCCTTATTTGTATCAGTTCAATTAGATAGAAAAGAATTTCGTGTTACTGATTCATTGATGATACCATTAAGAATTTGTTGTTCGGCATAAATATTTTTTTCGGTTACCAAAAGATCAGCTATATCTTCCGTCAGTAGAAGTTTATAAAATGAAAGTGGACTATCATCTTGACGATGTATACCATTCAAAGTTGGAGAGCTATTTTGCTGAAGCGGAAAAGCATTCAAATTACCAACAATACCATCCCATACAACACGTGTCTCTAAATTTCTTGTCGTTTGCGTAATTTGGTTAATGACTTCTTCAGAATCTAAATATGTGCCTAAATACAATGTTGCCTAATTATTTCCCCAAATTTCGAACTGAACTTAAAATGTAGTCGCCACAGCCCAAGTCTACTGAAACATCCATATAAATACACAGTGAGCGCGCTTAGCTGATGAACACAGTTCTTCAAACTTCATGTGAAGTTTTTTTGTGTATCTGATTTAATACACATGGGGTTTAAAGTGTTAAATTAAAACACAAAATAATAAAATTGATTAAAATAAATCAGTCAACATAACCTCAATATATGATGTATTTGATTTTAATTAAACATTTGATTACAATCAAGTTTTGATTAGCGTTCGAACAATCTGCCCTAATGTATTATTAATATAATGTAAAACATTTTCGGTCGCATTCAGGAACTCATCGAAAACTCCAGAGAATCGCCTTCGGGGGCATTCTTCAACAATGCGACGGACGGTCTGTTGTTACACACTATAGTCACACTCAGGAGTAAGGGCTTTTCCCTATCTATATAAGCTGTCAGCACATCTACCGCTGCTTGTTCTTATTCTGTTAAGCGTTGTCCATGTATTGCGGGCCAGTTCAAAGCCTGGCGGTTTCTGATCGATACAGGCCATTTGGTGTGCTTCCTGTGGTGAGTCGCTCTCCCATTGTCTTCTCCAAGCCTTGGTGAGGTTGAAATGTTCCTGATGTAAAGAGTTTGCTCTTAGCAATGGAGGATATCTGGAGCGCAGTCTGTTTATTTCGATATAATACTTATCATGGTGGATAGGTAGTTGATGGTTAGCCTCGATTTTTCGATATTCTCTGAGAAGAGAATGACTTCTTCGTAATTCCGTCTGTAGAATGGGAAGCCAATAGTTCCGTGTGGGTTTAATTGTACCTGTTTACTTGGGTGTCAATAATCTTCGTGTGTTTGCTATTGAGCCATACCGGAGAAGCATATTCAGCCGCCGAGTATACAAGTCCGAGAGCGGATGATCTGAGTACGGAGGCTGAGAACCCCCATGTGGTGCCACATAGCTTTTGGACTATATTATTTCGCGTTTTCAGTTTTGCTGCCGTTCTTTGTAGGTATTCTTTAGAACTCAATGTTCTGTACAGAGTCACTCCAAGATATTTTGGTGTTGACTTTCTGTTTTCAAAGTGAACCCAGCGTTTTTTGTTGGCTTGGGCATTATTCAGATGGAAACAGCACATCTCGGGTTTTGTTGCATTGAGCCGTAGCTTCAATTTGCGAAAGTATTCTTCCATAACGGCAAGGTCATCCGATAGAATTTGTTTCTGTAATATCCATGTTATTATATCTTGCTGCAATGGCCCAGTCGTCAGCGTGGCCAAATTTCTGCGAAGTTGTCCCAGGTAGGTCCGCGATGTATAAATTAAACAGTAAGGGTGCCAAAACAGATCCCTGTGGCAGTCCGTTGCTGAGCTTCATTTGGACACTTTTAAAGTTGCCTATCGTGACTTGAAAAGGTCTGTCAGTGAGCATGCTATTAATGAGTTTATTTACCTTTTGACACGGGATTAGTTTGCAGATTAGGCCTTGTTTCCAGACGGTATCTTATACAGCTGATAGGTCAATGAAAGCAACGGATGTTTTTTTACTTTCTTTGAAAACCTGATTCAATATGTGTTGTTGAGGATGGGATCTGATCTATGCAGCTGCGGTTAGGTCTGAACCCTGCTTGCTTAATCAATTCAAATTTGTTTCTACTAATTCTGTTGTGGATTAAGTTTTCCAACAGTTTATAGACACAGCTCAGCAGTGCAATAGGTCGGTAGTTTTGGGGCTGTTCATTTCTGAATATTCCTGGTTTTAATATGGCTATAATGAAGGCCATTTTTAGTGAATGGGAGATATTTCCTGATTTTAACATATCTGTATAGAAATCAGCCAGCCATTTCCTAGCATATTTGCCACAGTGGCATAAAAATTCTGGATGGATTTTATCGGAGCCGGGTGCCTTTCCAGACTGAATTTCTGATATTGCTGAAATAATTTCATCTGGAGTAAACAGATGTAGGCGGGCGTGCATACTTTGTCTCTAGTTGGCAGTCTGCTACTACCAAGTTTTCTAAGACCATGCTTTTCTGCTTGATTTACTGAAGTCTAATTTTTACACAGTTTCCATCCATTTTTGTCATCTGGCCGCATCCAAACTGTGCAGTAGTTCGTCCGCAATTTCTTGATCTTGGCTTTCGTTGTATTCTTGATACAATTTCTCACATTTTTCATTCCATCCTGGAACATACTCTTTACGATATTCTCTGGGTACAGTTTTCTTCGCTGTAGAGATAACCACGCCAACAAATCTCATGTAGTTTGTACGTGTTGGATCACGTGTTGGTGTCTTCATCACAGACATTTGTCCAATCTCTCAGTAAAAGTCACCCAGTCTGCTTTTTGAAAGTTTCACCTAGGTCGAGGAAAAGATGATATTATTGGTATATTGATGTCAACTTCTATTACAACTGGTGTATATTGGCAATGTGGAAAATCTGTGAGTACTGTACGTGAAGCTGCCAGTAGTTGATTGTTTTCATTTGTGGAAACAAATCATAGGTCTGGGTTGTATTCTCGCCTCCAGGCTGCAGATCGAAAAGTTCCTCGATCTTTAGCGTCAAAGACTAAATAAGTGTCAGCATCTTCGCTCCAGTTTAGCAGAGCCTCGCCGTTTTGATCACTGTGCCTATACTTCCAGAGTTCATGATGACTGTTGAAGTCTCTAACATAAACTGAGGGGTGTGGGTGGGCGTGAATAACATGCGGAGGCCACAAGACTGCCGGGGGTTTATAAATATTGCTGACAGTTATTTCGCCAATTTTGTATAGTATCCGTATGAATGTTGCCATAAGCTGAATGGTAAGTTGCACCCAATAAATCAAAGCCATGAATTCTTCTTGGGTTTCTACATGGGGTTCCTGAATTGCGCCCACGTCGATATTATTTTCAATGAGTACCTTTTGAAGGAGTACTTCTACTAATACCTTCTATATTTAAATGGCAGATTCGGATACTTGGTCCGAGTCCTTTTGCCGCTTGGTCCTGAGAAGGTCCATTTAAATTGTTGGTTGGGGGCATATCTTATATTCGTGATGTGTTCTTGCCAGGAGATCTAGAGATTCTTGGTTGTCTGGCTGCCTATTGTGCTAGTTTATTTAGCGTTACCCAGGGTGCATGGGTAGTATTCTACTACGGACGCAAATTAGCTTCACACCCCTATATAAAGAATAAAAAAATGAACAAATAGGTAAAGAAATAATAAATAAGACTTACTCACAATCAATTCAATTTAACTATTCAGACGACCGGTTTCGCTTTCTACAATATACAAAGTATCTTCAGGTCTCGATACAAAGTTAAATAAATGCTGAAATGATAAAAACCCATATTAGGGTGTTGTCTAATAAAGATAAACAAATTAGATGTTATAAATTACAATAATTATGCCAATATTACATGTCTGTGGTTTTTTTTAATGAATAAAAATGAATAAAAAGGTATAAAAAGTTTAAACAGACCAGGTAAGACCCACAAATTGTTATAAATGAGCAAATAAATAAACATTACTTACATGCCGGTATTCTATTAATTAATGGATGGTAGAACATGGTTGAAACTATCATGTATTATTGAATGGAGAACTTAAGTCCGCTATTGTAGTTGTTTGACAGTAAACGGGAAGTCCTTGAGGAGATAGATTTGATCCAATGAAGTAGAGATAGGTGTGTGATTGTTTGTTAAATGAAAGTGATGTTATATACAATTGTATTATTTAAAAGTTATTTATACTTATTCGAGAGATATATTTATGAAATGTGTGTTATTTATTGAGTATTTGTTTTAGGAAGGTGACAGTTTTATGACAATGAATAAGCTTAGATGTACAAATTGTGTGGGTGTGCAATTATTTCAACTTGTAATTATCAAATTTCTTTGATAAAGTTCTATTGGCAAAATAGTAGATTATTGCAAAGTCGAGTATAATATAAAATAATATAAAATATAATAATATAAAAAGTATAATATAAAATAATATTGTTTAACTTTAATATAAATATTAAAGTTAAAACAATTAAGGACAATTTAAACACACTAAAACAGAAAACACTTGAGAAGGGACGAAACAAACATTAAATTTAAAAAGGGGGAAGGACTTTTATGCACTACATCTCAGTCTTGGGCACAATGAGTTTTTATGTTATCTATTAGATTTTAGTGGTAAATTTGACAGACGTAGTTTTATGTTTTATTATACATATATTATATATATTAGATACAGTTTTATGAAATATGCTGATATTAATGAATGTCTCTAAATTGTTTTAATTAAGATATCAAAAGTAAATTGATGTGTTAAATATTGGCATACTTTAATAATCTTTAATTAATTAAATTTTAAAGTTAACAATACGAATAATTGAAATACATCCCACATTATAACTAACTCAGTTTAGTCCAAATTACAGAACAAATTACAGTGATTCTTTGGCAACTAAACATGTACATTTTGTAATCAAACGTATAACAAATTTACAAAATTTTATTTGAAAATATTGTTGGCGTGAGTTATCTGTCATGGTGTGTATAAATATTTTTAGATATTTAATTCAGGTTCTGATATATTAATATGTAACCAAAGTAATTAGTGGATCATTATTGATGGTAATTAATTTATGGATTCTAGAAATTGACTGAATTATTAAGCCGTCAATAATTAGTTGGTAGTTCTAATATCTGACAGTTAAGACCGGAAGTTGTTATACCAACAGGTAAAATTATTATTATTTAAAAGTAAATTTATTCCTATTTAAATTTTTCGTGTCATATGAACAGATATTCCTCACACCGACATGAACAATGGCGAGTTTGTACAATTGTTTTAAGTAACACTTTAAATTTTTTTAAATAATAGCTGTTTATGTTAAATTTATGTTAGTTAAAACAATTGTACAAACTCACCATTATTCATGTCGGTGTGAGGAATATCTGTTCAGATGACACGAAAAATTGAAATAAGAATAAATTTACTTTACAACGGTTTAAATAGAGGACCTTTCACCTGTTGGTATAACAACTTCCGGTCTCAACTGTCAGATATTAGAACTACCAACTAATTATTGAAGGCTTAATAATTCAGTCAATTTCTAAAATCCATAAATTAATTACCATCAATAATTATCCACTTATTACTTTGGTTACATATTAATATATCAGAACCTGAATTAAATATCTAAAAATATTTATACACACCATGACAGCTAACTCACATCAACAATATTTTCAAATAAAATTTTGTAAATTTGTTATACGTTTGATTACAAAATGTACATGTTTAGTTGCCAAAGAATCACTGTAATTTGGACTAAACTGAGTTAGTTATGTGGGATGTATTTCAATTATTGGTATTGTTAACTTTAAAATTTAATTAATTAAAGATTGTTAAAGTATGCCAATATTTAACACATCAATTTACTTTTGATATCTTAATTAAAACAATTTAGAGACATTCATTAATATCAGCATATTTCATAAAACTGGATAACTTAACTTGCAGTATTGAGAAACAGAAGATGAACTGTCACATGCTAACCTATATCTGTCAAATTTTAGTGCATAAAGGTCCTTCCCCCTTTTTAAATTTAATGTTTATTTCGTCCCTTCTAAGTGTTTTCTGTTTTAGTGTGTTTAAATTGTCCTTAATTGTTTTAACTTTAATATTTTATATACTCGACTTTGCAATAATCTACTATTTTGCCAATAGAACTTTATCAAAGAAATTTGATAATTACAAGTTGAAATAATTGCACATCCACACAATTTGTACATCTAAGCTTATTCATTGTCATAAAACTGTCACCTTCCTAAAACAAATACTCAATAAATAACACACATTTCATAAATATATCTCTCGAATAAGTATAAATAACTTTTAAATAATACAATGGTATATAACATCAGTTTCATTTAACAAACAATCACACACCTATCTCTACTTCATTGGATCAAATCTATCTCCTCAAGAACTTCCCGTTTAGTGTCAAACAACTACAATAGCGGACTTAAGTTCTCCATTCAACACTACATGATAGTTTCAACCGTGTTCTACCATCCATCAATTAATAGAGTACCGGCATGTAAGTAATGTTTATTTATTTGCTCATTTATTAATTTATTACAATCTAATAGAATATTTTATAACAATTTGTGGGTCTTACCTTGTCTGTTTAAACTTTTTATACCTTTTTATTCATTTTAAAAAAACCACAGACATGTAATATTGGCATAATTATTGTAATTTATAACATCTAATTTGTTTATCTTAATTAGACAACACCCTAATATGGGTTTTTATCATTTCAGCATTTATTTAACTTTGTATCGAGACCTGAAGATTCTTTGCATATTGTAGAAAGCGAAACCGGTCGTCTGAATAGTTAAATTAAATGGATTGTGAGTAAGTTTTATTTATTATTTCTTTACCTATTTGAAATGGACTCACACAAGTAACACATTCATAATTTAAAAAATGAACACCTTCAACACAAAAAAAATTCATAAAGAATTAGGTTGCTAATATTCCAACTGTGAAGATATAACTACGACTTATAAACATATTTAGGGAATCATATTTGAATATAATAATTCTTACGAAAACATATACAGCACTGTTTTTTGTTGTTTACAGAAGCGTTCCGGCCACCAAATTTTAGAGATGTAGGACCTGATAAGTATGGTTTCCATATAGGCAGGTATAAAAATTTCCAAGAAGTTTTTGGAGATGACCCAATGAAATGGTTCTTTCCTCTTGATACAAGGTATATTATATTTTTTTGTCATTGATAGATACCACTTCAAAGATTGTAGAAGACCATTGTATGTGCATATGGTATTAATGCTAAATATATTGTGCAATCATTTGGTATTCAATTACACGAATGAAGGATACAATAACTCTTTATTCAAACTGTATATGAATATTGATGTCGCTTACCAATCTATCAATGACAAAGAGTCTTGTTTTCCAATTCATTCAAATCATCAAAGGTCATTCAAAAAAATTATTAGATTGAATAGCATATTATATTACACATTTTATTTAATATTGTTCTGAAGCTAGTTTCTTGTGGCATTTTAAAGTAATAACTATTTAAATGGAAATAAGCCACAATTAAAGGTTAAAGTACGTTTATTGACGTTTCAATTTCCACTTCGGAAATCGTTCTCAAAATACAAACATTAACTTAATTAACCTTTGTTTGTGGCTTGTTCTCATTTAAATTGTAATTACATTTTATTTATTAATAATTTTTTTTTTTTTGATAAAAAAGTCCATTTTATCAGTTTAATATTTTTTGTTTTTAAATTCCGTCACATTGTTTCTGATTATTCAGCAGAAGCTTCTGAATCCAAATTTTTAGTAATAATAAGCAACATAGAAGGCTCTAAAATGAACAACTAAATAACTTATATTAAACTCTACTATTACAACTGCATCAAAGAATTTTATACTGTAGGCTAATGGACAGATAAAGAAAAAACACTTTTGCCTATACAATAAAATCAATTGTTTTTTTAATGGTTATGACATGCATAAACTAATTTGTTGTGCTACGTTGGAGAAACTCTTAGTTTTAGTTGACATTGCGGTGTGCGAAGTGTTAAAAAGAAATTTTAAAGTGGTAAAGTTCCCGGAGGTTGGCTGTATACCATAGTTTACAGTAAGAACTTTACAATAAAGTACAAACTTCTAGTATCATTGGTATATGTTTAATAAAACATTAAATTAAAACGAATGTTTTCGTTCTTATCAATCCATCTTCAGTGAACTTTGAAGTTAACTCAATAACCTCATCATCAAGCAGTGCGTGTGTTTAGATTACATATTAAATTGTTTTTTATTAACCCCACTTTTATTACAATATATCTATACAATATCAATCTACATATGTAGGTAGATAATAGACAATAAGTAATAGGACTGACAATTAAAGTATTGTGACATGCAGGGATGCACCCCTTTTTTAAACTTAATCTTTAATATTGACTGTCTTTGACACCTATTTATACATAATACATATACCGGGTGGTGAATCGTCAAACGGGCTATAAGAAACTCAATAGGAAAATCTAAATTAATGAAATCCTGTTTCCCTAATTATTTTACATCAAAAGTCATAAAAAACTATTAGTAGAGGACTGAAATCTGTATTAAAAACAAATGTTAAAATTCTTCTACAAAATGAACATACTCCAAAATTTTGCAAAAATATAATACATTTTTCAGGCCACCCCTAAAAGTCAGGCCACACGCAGTGCAAGAATGTGGATGACGTGCTGCGTTTGATCATATTGATGTAAGATGTTTGACAATATTTGAAACTTCAAAATTTTTATTTTATGATTAAATTATAAACAATAAATTGGTTGAGTTTACCGAAAGTACAAGCTGATTATAGCCGAAAATGTCAAACATGGAACAAACAAATTTGGCATAGCAGTGTTGGCATATTTTTATAATGTAGATGCTGTATGCTTCAAATATAAAAAGATAAAGCTTTAGAAAAGTACCTTTTGTTTATATTATGTTATAAATTCTGCAATTTTAATTTGTATAAAACAAGAATGAGTAAATATTTGCTTTTTTGGAGATTAATTGAGGTTAATTATTAGAATTTTTTTTTGGCAATTGCCCTTTGATATATTAGGGAATAGATTTGGCAATCGTCAAATCAGCAGTTGCCAGATTGCAACAGATGTTTGCAATTAATCTCGAAAGAGACAAATATTTACTCGCTATTGCTTCATATAAATTAAAAATTGCAGAGTTCATAAAATAGTATAATCAAAATGTACTTTTTAAAACCTTTCTCTCTTTATATTTGAAGCATACAACATATGCATTATAAAAACATCCCAACACTGCCAAACCCAAATATTTTTGACATTTGCGGCTATATTCAGCTTGTACTTTCCGTAAATTCAACCAATAAATTTTACTAAATACAGGCAATAGTGCGAGCCCTGCGAGATCTTTCGTTAACGTAAGATATTCAATACACTCCAATTCAATTCCAAGAATTCAAAGAATTTCAATATAGTTTTACTGTGATCCTTATTCCTAAAAATAATTTATGATAATTTCTAAACACAAAACTCTAACAAATGTTCAAACAATCCTCCATTTTGTACTAAACAGTATTCCAACCGATTGTAAATTTTTTGTCCAACATTAGTCAGAACGCGTAGCGTTATTTTTGCACACTCGTCAATAATTCGCATTTTGAATGCTCCAATATCTGTAAACTTTGGTCAGAATAGATTTTTGATTTGAGATGCTCCCAGGTAAAATTTCGTTTGTACTAGATCTCCATATCTCGAAGGCCACTTAATGTTACAGTTAGGTTCAATCAAACAATTTTTAAATCTGTTTTTAAGGACTTTCTTAACCTCTCAGTTTTTGTGTACCTATCCATTTGAAGCCAAATTTATTCTTCATCTGGAGCTATTTTTGTAAGTCTCGGTAAAATCTCTTCTTTTAGCAAGTTTAAAAACTTTTTTGAGTTGCAATGTTTCTCATAGAGAAATGGTCCAATAATATTGTGTCTAAATATTCCTAACTAGACATTTATTTTTCTACGATATTGGGTATGGCTTTCAATAATCTTCTTCTTCATGTACCATGTCCTTTCAGAACGTTGGTTACCATCATAGCTATTTTAATTTTATTCACTGCCACCCTAAATAGCATGCTTGTATCTACACCATACCAATCTCGCAAGTTCTTCAACCATGAGGTTCTTCTTCGTCCTGGACTGCGTTTGCCTGCTATTTTTCCTTGCATGATATTTTGTAGCAATCTATATTTGGGACCTCTCATTACATGTCCGAAATATTCCAGCTTTCTCTGCTTGATGCTTTTTATGATCTCAGTGGTCTTGCTGAGACGTTCAAGTATTGTGGAGTTACGAATCTTCTCCACCCAGGAAACTTTTAAAATTCTTCTATAGCACCACATTTCGAAAGCCTCAAGGCGATTTAGATCGATTTTATTCACAGTCCAGGACTCGACAGCATAAAGTAAGACCGAGAACACGTAGCAGCGAAGTAGGCGGATCCTTAATGCCAATTTTAGGTCTCTGTTACATAACACCTTGGACATCCTTCTAAAAGCAGCTCTAGCCTGCTCTATTCTGGATCTAATTTCGCCGTGATTTTCTGCATTACAATTTAATTGCTGTCCAAGGTAGACGATTTTATCAACTTGCTCAAGTTTGGTATTATTTACATATATAGACGGTTTTATATTCTGTTGTTTACTTATTACAAGTATTTTGGTTTTCCTTATGTTAAGATCCAGACCTGCCTCCCTGCAACTCTCAACGACACTATCAAGTAGTGTTTGCAGATCTTCTTGACTAGAAGCTAGGAGTACTGTATCGTCCGCATATCGCAAATTATTGATGACTTCGCCGTTCACAAGTATTCCTTCTTGTTTTTCAGAAAGTGCTTTTCTGAAAATTCTTTCGGAGTAAACGTTAAAAAGCAGGGGTGACAAGAGGCATCCCTGCCGTACTCCTCTTTTAATATTGAGAGCTTGTGATTCCACACCATCTACTAAAACTGATGTTGTTTGATTCCAATATAAATTTGCAATTATTCGAACATCTCTGCCGTCCAAGCCAATGTCTTTTAGAGCTTCGATCAATATAGAGTGCTTAACACGATCGAATGCCTTTTGAAAGTCAATAAAACAACAGTATATGTCTACAGATATATCACGACATCTTTGAGCAAGTACGTTCATTCCAAACAGTGCCTCTCTCGTTACAAATCCGTTACGGAAACCAAACTGAGTGTCATCCAGGTATTCTTCACATTTATTGTAGATACGACCATGTATTACCTTCAGAAAAATTTTCAATAAATGGTTTAACAAACTGATGGTTCTATAATCAGCACAGGTTTTTGCTGTTGTCTTCTTAGGTAGAGTTATAAACAGTGAGTTAGACCAACCATTAGGTAGTTGTCCGCTGGTATAAATGGTATTGAAAAACGAAGTTATAGCCTCTAAAACATTGCTATCCTTTATGAGCTTATATATTTCAGTTGGAATTTCATCAGGACCAGTCGCTCTGCCATCTTTTGATGATTGTATGGCCTTTATAACTTCACAGCGTGTTATTAGGGGTCCGTCGCAGTTAGTAATATCGGGAGGTGAACTACTTCTATCGTCTTCGAATAGGTTCGTGACGTAATTTTCCCATTGTTTAAGTTTGTCCTCTACTTCGAATATTACTTTACCATTTTCATCCTGTAGCAATGCATTTTGTTTCTTATTGAAGATACCAGCCGCTTCTTTTACTTTTTTATACATGTTAAACGTGTCGTGTCTTTTTTCGAGTTCTTCAATGTCATGACACTGTTTGGCTAGATGTTGACTCTTTGCTTCTCGTATTTTGCGTCGAATTTCTTTTTGTATGCTATTGTCAAGTGTTTCGTTGGTTTTTGCTAGTCGCCGTTGTTCCATCAAATCCAGTATATCATCTGTCATCCAAGCCTGCTTTTTTGGCTTTGGCCTGCCTTGTAAATTTCTCACACAGATTTCTTTTACTGTCGTTACGATTTTATTGAGGCCCTCATCGACGTTTTCACCAATATTTTCCCAAATTAAATTTTCGTTCAGTTGTCTTTGAACTGATTCCTTAACTTTCTCGTCTTGTAGTTGGGCTGTATCAATCTTTTTGCGAGACTTCTTTTTGATCACCTTTTTTAATTTTAATTGGGTTACAGCTACTTTGGGATTGTGATCGGACCC